GATTTACTTACTTGAGAGAGAGCTATGGTGAGGGGGCAGAGGGAGAGAATCTCAAACTGACTCCCCGCTGAGTGCCCCTGAAAATGATATTATTAAAAATTAGTATTCAAGTAGGAAGCTAAAAGCTTTTATCCAAGTCAGAGTTTAGGGTAGAGCATGATGTGAATTCTGCTTGATTAAAATGTTCATAGTGCTTATATTAATAGACCTGAAAAAGCGATAGGCCATCAAAAGAAGAATGCTTAACTTGGGGACACAGAAAAATACAGAGTTAAGAACTGCCATCCCATTTGAAAACTTTTCAGGTAGGCACCTGATGGCTCCATCTCTTAAGCATCTGGCTCTTGATTTCAGCACAGGTCATGATCTCAGGGTTGTGACATCCTGATTGAGCTCTGCAGTGGGCTCTGCGCTCAGCAGGGTCTCTGCTTAAGGATTCTTTCTCTCCCTCTCCCTCTGCCCCCACTCCCCTGTGTGCTTGTTTGTTGGCTCTATCTAAAATAAATAAGTAAATCCTTTTTAAAAATAGATAAATCTTAAAACAAAACTTTCCAGGTGAAAAGATGCCTTGCTTAAAAAATTCAGTAGTCTTGGGGCACCTTGGTGGCTCATTCATTGTGTCTGCCTTTGGCTCAGGTCATGATTCCAGGGTCCTGGGATCAAGCTGGGAGCCTGCTTCACCTTCTCCCTCCGCCTGGTGCTCCCCCTACTTGTGCGCTCTCTCTCTCTCTGTCAAATAAATAAATAAAATCTTTAAAAAAAAAAAAAAAAAGATTTCCGTAGTCTGGCCCTGATGCAAGTATGGCCCTAATGTGAAGATGGGTTTATCTACTCATTGTAGCCTCTAAAATACTGCCTTTGATGGGATTCTGTGTTCTCCAAGTAGTCTGATTTTAATTCAGCCACTCTATTACTTTTCCTTAAACTGCACTTGTTAGGTAGTTGTGAACATTTGGTCTCATTGTATGTTACTCATTTTGGTGTTCTTGGTTACATATTAGTCACCTCTGTGAATTGCCTTCTCTGAGTCCTATCTACTCCAAGTAGCAGGGTTGAGTTTGTGGACCTGGGAGATGAAGTACCATACACGAGGCAAATTCACCAGAGAAATGTCAGCTGATGAGGCCTTTTGGTGGTTATTCAACTGAACTTACCTTAGCATGCCCTCTATATGTTCTTAACCCTTTATTTAAAATAAGTATAGTCTTTGTATTTGATCATTTTCTCTGTTCCTTTACCCTAGTCATCCCTAAAGATTAAATAGTGGGACCTGCTTTTTTTTTTTAAGTCAGGTGAGGCTGCTTTATTTTTATTTTTTTTAAAGATTTAAAAAAGATTTTATTTTATTTGACAGAGATCACAAGTAGGCAGAGAGGCAGGCAGAGAGAGGCGGGGAAGCAGGCTCCCTGCCAAGCAGAGAGTTGGATGCGGAGCTCGACCCCAGGACCCTGGGTCCATGACCTGAGCCAAAGGCAGAGGCTTTAACCCACTTAGCCACCCAGGCACCCCAGGACCTGCATCTTTAAAATTATTTTTAAGTACCTATATGAGGGAAATGTGCTTATGTCCTTTAGAACCCTGCTGGTTGTAAGCTGCTTGCCCTTTCTTAGAAGAGTGATTGGATAAAATGGACTGTATTAAAATTTTCTATTTACTTGATCTTCCTATTTTTGTATAATGGGAGGAATTCCCCTCCGTGGTAAATGACAACTATTTGGAAAATCTCTACCATCTGATTGAAAAGGCTTTTCCTAATGATATCCTTACTGTGACATGTTATAATCCTCAACTTATTTATTATTTATATTTATAATCCTCATTATTTTATAGGGTGAACATGAATGAATTCAACATTTATTGAGTACCTTGTACCAGGAAAAGTTGTAGTTACTGTATTATAAAGATGATTAGCATGGGATCTATACTCTTGAAGGCTGCTTCATTAAGCTTTGAAGATTAGTGTATGTGTAAATAATTATGACAAGTGCTATGTAAGAGGTATTGTGGAAAAGCATGAGAAAGTAATTTTGGGGGGAAAACTAAATTTAAAAGATTACTGGAATTCCCTAGAAGGAGAAGTAGAAAAGGTAACTTCAGCTCAGGGAAAAACTGAGTAGAGGTAGAAAAATGTTTGCTGTGAAGATGGTGTGTGGCTTATGTGGGGAGAATGGCTTGAATTCCAGGTTAGATACCTGCTGGTAGTGGTGAGAAGTGGTGAGAGATAAAGCTGAAGCCTGTTCATATATGACTGTCTTATATTTACTAGGCTGAGAACCTGTGCCTTGTCTTCCTGTCAGAATGGAGAACTGTCATTTATTTTTTATTAGAAGGAGAGAGGGCGTATGCAATTTGGGGGATGTGGCAGAGGGAGAGAGAGAATCTTAAGCACGAGACAGGCTCCACAGGGGGCTCAGTCTCATGACCCTGAGATCATGACCTGAGCTGAAATCAAGAGTCAGACACTTGAATTTACTGAACCACCCACAGGTCCCCCACAGAGCTATCATTTAACTAAAGTGGTGTTAACCAGCTTTGTAGCGTAGAACAAATAGCAACAGTAGAAAGGTGGATTGGAGACAGTCCACCTAGGGAAGGTGTTTTGTTTTTTTTTTTTAAGATTTTATTTATTTATTTGACAGAGTTCAGAAGTAGGCAGAGAGGCAGGCAGAGAGAGAGAGGAGGAAGCAGGCTCCCCGCGGAGCAGAGAGCCTGATTCGGGGCTTGATCCCAGGACCCCGGGATCATGACCTGAACGGAAGGCAGAGGCGTTATCCCACTGAGCCACCCAGGTGCCCCTAGGGAAGGTTTTGTAGTAAGAAATGAGGACTATGGCTAGCACAGTCAGAAGGTTCAGGATATGTTTTTGAGGGGGAATATATAGAACTTGGTGACAGATTAGATGTTGGGGTTGAGGGAAAGACTGGATAAACTCCAGGGGCAGCTGAATTCGTGGTTATGCCATTAAATGAATTAGGTATGATAGAATTAGAAAAAGATTTGAATGTTGGGTTTTGCATATGTTGAGTGGCACCATGTCTGTCCACTAGGTGGGTTAGAGTTGAGAGATTTGGAAACATGGATTAGGAACCATCTTTCTTAGTGGTTGGCACTGCACATATGCTATCTTGATCATTATACAACACGGAAAAATAGGTGGTGTTGTCCCTGTTTTTGTTTTTGTTTTTTTTTTTAAGATTTTATTTATTTATTTGACAGAGATCACAAGTAGGCAGAGAGGCAGGCAGAGAGAGAGAGAGGAAGGGAAGCAGGCTCTCCGCTGAGCAGAGAGCCCGATGCGGGGCTCGATCCCAGGACTCTGGGATCATGACCTGAGCCGAAGGCAGAGGCTTCAACCCACTGAGCCACCCAGGCGCCCTTGTTGTCCCTGTTTTATAGTGAGGAAACTTAGGGTTAGAGAAGTAAGTAAGTTTCCCAAGGTCACGTAATTACAGATACTTTTCCATAGTGCTGTGCTAACCACTGCTATGTAACAAACCACTCCTAAATGTTGTGACTTAAAGCAGTAATTTTTAATTATCCTATATGGTTCTATCATTTAATTGAGCTCAGCTAGGAAGTTCTAGTTTGGAATTCTCATTTGGTTGCAGTTGGCAGCGGAACTAGAGTCATCTATAGCTTGACCTGGCTGCATATCCAAGATGGCTTCTTTGTGTGTCTGGCATCTCATCTGGAAAGGCTGGAACAGCTCGGGGCAACCATGGGGTGATCTCTCCCCACAAAGTCAGGCCATACAATTAGTAGGCTTTCTCATCTATATAGTGGTTTGGGGATAGTAGGACTTGTTACATGGTGTCTGGTTTACTCCAGAGGAAGTTGTCCAAGAGAGCCAGGCTGTAGCTGCAAGGTTTGTAATGATGTAGACTTGGAAGTCACGCAGCATCACATCTGTTACATTCTGTTGGTTAAAAGTGAGTCACAGGACCCCTCACATTCACAGTGGGTCAGGAGCGAGGGAACACTGTACCGGGGGCATGAATATCCAGAGGCCATCTTTGGAAATGAACTTCTTCCACACAGTGCTATCTTTGGAATAGTGTTTAGATAGAGTGGAAATAGATGGGTCCTGAGAATGCCTTGCTAAAATGTGAAGAGAATGCAAGGAGACAGCTCTGGGAAACAAATGTTGTTGTTTTTTTTTAAAGATTTTATTTATTTATTTGACAGAGATCACACGTAGGCAGAGAGGCAGGCAGGGCAGGGGGAAGCAGGTTCCTTGCTGAGCAGAGAGCCCGATGTGGGGCTCGATCCCAGCATCCTGGGATCATGACCTGAGCTGAAGGCTTTAACCCACTGAGCCACCCAGGCGCCCCACAAATGTTTTTGAAGAAAGACCCAAGGAAGAGGAGTCAGTGAGGAAAAAAAAATACCAAGAGATGGAGGGAGAGAATTTAGAGAAAGTGGTGCCATAGAGGCCAAGGAGGAGGATAGTCACTGCCACCATAACCCTTCATCCTTAGATTTGGTTGTTATGTTAGAACAGCTATATTAAATGTACTCAGATAGTTTTTGATCACCTGTGATGGGACCTGGCCTTCTGCTACCAGATTTAAAGGCTGACTTTTTTTTTTTTCTTTCTCATTTATCCCACCTCACATACATACATACATGAGTTGATGCCTAAATTTCACAGTTAGAACTTAAATGGTGTAGTCTAGTGTAAAACATTTACACTTTCAGTCATTTGTAAATTGTGATTACATTTGGGATACTTTAGTGAGAGTAGACTTCCATATACTAGAAAGAATACAGTGTTTCTGGCTTCCTAGAGAAGTGAGAGTTCTCTGTGTAGAATGAGAGCGTAGGACAGTGAAATTAATGGCACACTTCTGCTGGTCTTGCTAGGATATTCTTTTGAGTTCCAGAAAGGTAAGAAGTGTCATGCACAGAACTATAACATAACTGGAAAGAACGGATAAAATGGGAAGTTTAAAAGTTTTATGCTTTTAGTTAATAAATAGCTGGTGTTTTCTTTATTTCAGAGCACAAAGTTATCATTGTTGGGCTGGATAATGCAGGGAAAACTACCATCCTTTACCAATTGTAAGTATTCACTACTTTAAAATTTTTATTTTATTATTCACAGTTATTTTTTCTGCCTGGGTGATAACTTGATTAATAAAAGCAATAAAAAAAGTTATGTGGAGCCTAAATTAATTCTGTAAGAAGGCAGTTTGACTATAAACCAGGAGCCAGATTTAGGCAACTGTTTCAAGAGAACTAGGAATTTATATGACCTTTGAGTATGTTCACTTTTTTTGCTTGTGGAAAGTAGAGAAATACTGTTTATGTAGTTTCTGGGAATGAATCTAGAGTATTTAAGATAGTTCACTACCTGGTCCCATCTCTCTTTAAACCCTTAACTCACGAGTTAGCAGAAAAGGGCTATTTGGGTATAAAAAAAAAAAATTCATGCTCATTTATCCCTTGATTGAAAAATGCTCAAACATTCTTGCCTCTTTGCTAATTGTAATATATTTGTACTTTTTTCCCCCTCAGTTCTATGAATGAAGTTGTACATACATCACCCACAATAGGAAGTAACGTAGAAGAAATAGTGATTAATAATACACGTTTTCTAATGTGGGATATTGGTGGCCAAGAATCTCTTCGGTCTTCTTGGAACACTTACTATACTAACACAGAGGTAATGTTTCTTAATGTACTAAAGCTTCTAGGAGCGGAATGCTTGGGAAACAATATCTGGGTGTGAACTCTTAGGTTAATCTTTTTGAAATATCCTAGTATGGTAATAAAAGTTGAATTTAAACATAGTGGAATCTTTGATTCCCTGTTTCGGGGTTATTATATACCTACTGCCATTGAACTTCTGTAGGGAAAATTGGAATGAGGGGGTGATTGGTTAGTCTGATTATATATTGATCCCACAACTTATCTTAAGTAGTTGTTTTTACAGTGAGTACCATCTCATAGTTCTCCATTTCACTTCTCTCTTACTGTTTATTTTTGTAGGCATAGAGAAAATCCTAGTTAAATGAGAGGGTACTGGAGGATTGAATCCTGGCCAAACTTTAACTGTGTATGTTTCTTAATGCAGTACAGTTGCACATGAAATAATTCTTTTTCTTTTTGGTTATAAAGCAGTTTAGACGTGATCTTATGTTTTTATTTACATGTTATTTCCCAAGAGGAAATTTCAGATCTGTGACATTTGAGAGCTTTACTATATCGATCTTACAAATTGAAAGGCTCTGATAGTTGTTTTTATAGTGCAGATTATAAGGTAATAAAACTCCAAATGTATATTAAGATGAATATTATGTCATTAAGACCTATTAAGTGTCTTTAATGAGTTGATCCCTTAAAACTTCACTAAGCCTTTGATCATGTTTTTTTGGAAAAGGAAAGATACATGTGGTCAGTACTTCTGTGTGTAATGCTGCAGGTATCAAACTTAGGACAACATCTTAAAAATTAAGTTTTATTAAAATGCCTTGGAATAGAGCTGGTTTTATATTAACAAAGCCACATATCAGTAAGTATCAAGTGAGAATAGAGGGAAGGTAACTGTTCTCATCTGCCGTATGGTTAATGAAATCTGAAGAGTAGAAAAGACCCTGAAAATTAACAGTGGTTTATCTGGAAAAGAAGAGCTAGCTCTGAAAAATAAATAGTGCATGTTAATTTTAAGCAGTCAGAGTTAACTTGATGGCATCACTTGTGCCAACATAGAATGACTGTTTCTGCTCCTTTTTCCCTTGTGGTTTTTGGTGCTCGTGGAGGGGAGGAAGAGGTGCAGTGTGGCTCAGTCCTGCCCGGCTCCATTAGGAGTCTCATTGCATCTTTGACAGCGTCCCCATCATCAGTTCAGGAAAGAGTTGTGCTTGCAGGCAGCAGGTGCCGTTCACATAAAGAAGAGAGCAGGGTTTTAGATACGGGTTTATTCTTTCCAATCTGTTGATTTTTAAAAACTGATCTGTCACATTACTCCTATATCATGCCCTTTTTCAGCATTTCAAATTGATATTGATAAATACCTGTAGAAATATTTAAAATTTAGCATCATAATGTATTTTTTTCATATTGACTTGGGTGCACATAGATGGATGTAGGCTCATTACCATTCAGGATATTAATTTAGAAAGCAAACGTGTTATATATTTGTTAGACTATTAACAATACCCTAATAGAGTGTTACCATCGTATTCTCTTTTCTCTTATTTTCTCTTAAAAATTAGCAAATAATATTTGAATTAGGAATGGATCAAACCTTTAGGCTTCACAATGTATAGTAGGTATCTCTGGTTTTCCAGTAATACCATACCATAAGATTCTAATTCCTTGATATTTGTGGTCTGTAAATCAAATAAGTACTTTATAAATTTTATAAACATTAAATTATGTAATCACTAATTTTTTTGTGATTATTTTAGTTTGTAATAGTTGTTGTGGACAGTACAGACAGAGAAAGGATTTCTGTAACTAGAGAAGAACTCTATAAAATGTTAGCCCATGAGGTAAGTAGGATTCCGGCTTACATGTGTGTTGTGTTGGGAGGAGAGTGCTTCTCTCTTTCCTTTTTTCTCTTTTCTTTTCTTCTCTCCCTCCCTGCCTTCCTTCTTTCCTTCCTTCCTTTCATAATTACTTATTTAAGTAACTTCTGCACCCCGTGTGGAGCTTGAACTCACAGCCCCAAGATCAAAAGTTGCACGCTCTTCCGACTGAACACAGCCAGTTGTGCTCCTGTGTGTAGTATTTCTGTCACATTTGTTCTTTCTACTTTGTCATGACAGTACTACTCCAATTTTTATTTGTTTATTTTTTTAAATAAACTTTAATTTTGAAACAATATTTTTAAAGTACTGTGCCCAACATGGGGCTTAAATACATGACCCCAAGATTAACAATCACATGTTCTACCAACTCAGCCAGCCAGGCACCCCTACTTCAAATTTTTTAACAGTTACTTACCGGGGCGCCTGGGTGGCTCAGAGGGTTAAGCGTCTGCCCTCGGCTCAGGTCATGATCTCAGGGTCTTGGGATCGAGCCCTGCATCGGACTCTCTGCTCAGCGGGGAGCCTGCTTCCCCCTCTCTCTCTCTGCCTGCCTCTCTGCCTACTTGTGATCTCTGTCAAATAAATAAATAAAATCTTTTAAAAAAAAAAAAAGAGAGTTACTTACCTGCTGGCCATTCCTGCTTTATAATTTTGACGCTTGCCAAAGTGTGTATCTGGAAACAACGGAAAGATTGTGGAATCAATTGTAGAATTTTATTTCTTCTTTCCTGGATTAATTTGGTCTAGAAGTTTTTCTGGGTGAAAAGATCTAAATTGGATTGCATTTTGCATTTTATATAGATTAATTATACAGAAGGAAATTAATTTAAAAATTAATTTTTTAATTAATCACTGGAAATTAATTAAAAAAAAAGATTTTGTCAGAGAGAATGCACACAAGCAGGTGGAGCAGCAGGCAGAGGGAGAAGCTGGCTTCCCGCTGAGCAGGGAGCCTGATGTGGAACTAGATCCCAGCCCTGGGATCATGGCCTGAGCCAAAGGCAGATGCTTAACCCACTGAGCACCCAGGGTCCCAGAAAATGAGATTTTAAGATACTTTATTTGTTTGAGAGAGGGAGAAAGAGAAGAGAGCGTGTGCGCATGATGGAAGGAGCGGTAGAGGGCAGGGGAGAGGGAGAAGCAGACTCCCTGCTGACATGGGGCTTGATCGCAGGATCCCAAGATCATGACCTGAGCGGAAAGCAGATGCTTAACCGACTGAGTCACCCAGGTGCCCTGGAAATGAGATTTTAAAATCTCGTGGGCACTTAGGAAGTCTTGATTGTAACTCAGTTATCAGACTAATACTTAAATGTTGTTGCTCTTAGGTTTCTCTGATACTGCCCCTTTGACTAAAGAAAACTATTTGATAGCTACATCTTCTTAGTCTTTGAGAAATATTACTGGTAGCATAATTTAAAAATTAAATACACTAAATGATATAGTTGGTACTGATAATATTAACTATAAAATCATATAATACGTGGTAGCAATTGATATTTTTTTGTATGCCTTTCATTACAGGTGTTACTTTCTCAACTCATAGGTGGAAATAGAAAAATTAGTATTTAGATATATATGTAATTTTTAATTTTAACGGAATTGTAACAAAGCTTAAGAAAATTGGGATATCTTTTTGGAGTGCCTGGATGGCACATTCAGTTAAGCATCTGACTCTTGGTTTCTGCTCAGGTTATGATCTTTGGGTTGTGAGATCGAGCCCCATGTTGGGCTCTGCACTTGGTGTGGAGTCTGCTTAGGATTCTTCATCCCACTGCCCCGCCCCCCCCTCAAGTAAATAAATAAACTTGAAAAAAAAGTAGATATCTTTGTAATGACGTTTCTTTCTTTTTTTTTTTTTAACATTTTATTTATTTATTAATTTTTTTTTTTTTCTAAATAGAGGGAGAGAGTGAGTGTGTGAGTAGGGGAGAAGGGCAGAGAGAGAGGGAAAGAGAAAGCCCAAGCAGGTTCCAACTGTCAGTTTAGAGCCTGATGTGGGCTTAATCTCATGATTCTGAGATTGTGACCTGACCCCAAATCAAGAGTTGATATCATAACCAACTGAGCCACCCAGGTGCCCCTGAAGTTCCTGTTTTCTGTACGGGGATCATGCCCACCGTGATGCAGTGTCCCATTTTGGATTGATTCTGGCCGCTGTATTAAACCCCTTGGATTTTTTTTTTTTTTTTTTTTAAGTACACGTTGCTAATCATGCATTTAAAAGTTTTGATTCTAGTTTGGGAAATAAAAAGCTATGAAATAGGTAGAAAACTAAGGATTTTTTTTTTTAATTTTCCCTTTGTATTTTACATAGAGAGGTTATTGTTGTGTACACCAAAGGATTATTATTGTTTTATGAAGACTTATGAAAAAGCAAAATAAGACACAAATGTATTTGTCTTTTGGCTGTTTTTTTACTACCTTAAACAGGTAGCCTCCTCCTATGATTCTTATTCTAATTTGCCAATATATAGCAGGATCAAAGAGCCCAGTAGTAGGACTCAAACAAAGTCATTGAATTTTACTAGCTGGGGGTATTAACTAGAGCTGGTCACTTAATTTCATCTGTTATGGATGTTACCCATCTTTTATGGATTAGTACACGGAGGCCCAGAAAATTAGTGGCTTGATTTTTAAGAGCCAAGAGCCAAGATTTGAATTTAGGCATTCTCATAATTCGGGCCCTTTGTTAAGAAATAAGGCCTCATTGGAATGTGAGAGACTGAACGGGGAGATTGCCAGAGAAGAAAGGAATTATGGACAAATTTGGGAGCTAGATTAAGCCATCTACTAGGGTCAGGAAGAGCCAAATCGGCAGTTTTGGAAGGGCAAATGGATCAAAGAATGAGATTGTGAGTGAAAAATATTGACATGGATTTAATCAGGTGTTTCATATATACTGTAGTAACCAACAAATCTTACTATCATCACTAATAATGCTTTACATGTATTACTGGATATGAAACTATAAAATGATTTCAAATATTTCTGAATGCTTCATTTTTTTAAAGATTTTATTTATTTATCGGAGAGAGCATGAGCACAAGTGTGGCAGGAGGGGGTGCAGAGGGAGAAGCAGACTCCGCACTGAGCAGGGAACCCGATGCAGGGCCCCATTCCAGGACCCTGGGATCATTACCTGAGCTGAAGGCAGACGTTTAACCCACCCAGGTTCCCCCTGAAAGCCTCATCTTAAATGAAATGCAAAACTTTGAAGCTCATGAATTTTGAAATAGTCCCAAACACAAAAGTATAGATGAAGTTTTATTTGGAGTGACTCAACCTCTAGGAATTATCTTCACAAATGAAGCTTTGAGAAACCAACTGACAATTGCATGTGGCATATGGAAGATGCTAAGTAAATGTGTCTTGCTTGTGCTGCTGTTCATCTTCTTGACTAAATGAAAAAATATTTTTAGACTCTTAACAATAATCTGTAATAGGTAGCAGAAAGGTCTTCAAAGTTTGGCTGATGTATAAAAATCACCACTGTTCCCCTTGTACTTTGATCTCTTACTGAGTCAAGTTGATGACAGCCCTAATCTAATATATCTCTCTTTTTTTTTAATTTTTATTAACATATAATGTATTAATTGCCCCAAGGGTATAGGTCTGTGACTCATCAGGGTTACACACTTCACAGCGCTCACCATACAATCCAGTGTGTATCTTTTCTTTTGTTAAAATGATGGATAATTGGTCATGAGGTTATTCAGTAAAAAGTAAAAGAAGATTTTCGTCTCTTCCTAAATACTCAGAAATAAGGAAAATAGCTTTTTTTTTAAAACAAGAACCCTAAATTTAAAAAATTAAGCCAGTGAAATCTAGAAAAATTAGATACAGTATGGGTTTTATTTTGAGACCTTTCAATAAATAGCTTTATTTTTTATATTTTCCAATTTTCAGTCTAGGTGCTTCTCCAAATTTCATCACCAGGAGTGATTAGTATAGATTACATGCAAGTAAAATAGCATAAACAATGTGTTCTAACTTGTGTCAGGTATTTCTAATGTCAGAAATGTGCTCTTTGAACATGCCAGCATTAGCCGTCCTGACCTATATAAGATTTCAGCATACTCTAGCAAGAGATACTGAAACCGGGAAGATAGGAAGATAGGAATTCCATTCCATGGAAAGTCCACCTACTCAGTGATTCAGCCACATATCAACTATTGATAAGTGTTCTGTTTTCCAGTTAGGATAGGAAAAAAGTATTTGATCCTTGATAATGAAATACAGTAGATGTACTGGCTATAGCCCATCTCCTCGACTTTTTACCTTTTATGTGGACAGGTGAACTGAACAGAGGTGAAATAAACTGAATACAAAATCTTAAAAATCTAGAGTATCCCCCTCTGACCATGCTTTTCAGGTTAACGGTCATTAACTGTGGTAGCATAGCTGCCATCCTGCAGAGGGCGCTGTAACTAAAAGTCTATCTTGATTGTTATATAAGACATTTTGCATAATTCCTTTTAACCAAATAAAAAATTTATTACTTATATTTTTATTGACATCAGAAAAAAATCAAAGAAATTATTGAAGCTCTGTTCTCACAGTAAAAAAAAATGTGGAGCAGTGTCAATTTGTATATACTAAAGACTTTATTGTTTTAAACACATATACACATGATTGAAATAAAAATATTCTATAAAAATCCCTACGAAGAATGATGTCATTCAACACAGTTGAGAAAACTTGCAAGCACAGCACTAAAACTTTAGTTTTCTCAGTATCTCTTTGTGTGTGTGTATGTATACAATTTTATGAAAGTTTAATCTACCAGTTGAATGTGTCCATCATGGGTTCTTAATTCAGGATCCATGAATGGAATTTAGGTTATCTCTTAACACCCTTTAACATCATATATAAATCTTATATGTATCTTTTTATGAAAAAAAGGTCCATAATTTTTAATAGATTATCAAGGAAGCCCCTGGCTTTAAAAATGGGAAAGGGGAAGTACCTAGGTGGCTCAGTGGGTTAAAAATGGGAACAGGAAGGGTAGGGTGAAGTAAAAGGAAATGAATAACCATTGGACTGCTTTGTGAGTAAAACATTAAACCAGTCACTTTGGTAAAGATGACCCTCATTTTCCAGGCAGTAACTGAACTTTAACTGACTGTTTGTTACCCAAAGCCAGGTACTGACCTGGATGGAGTGTTTATCATGTAGTAGTTCATTCATCCAAACCACATCCCCAGGAGGTAGGTGGTGGTCTCAGGATTATATTATAAATGAGGGGCAGCAGTTATACTGGGAAAATCTCGTTCAAACCTGGTTCTGTTATTCAGTAGCTATATGACCTTGTATGTACTCACTGCTGGGTCTTAGTTTTCCTCATCTGTAAAATGGGAATCTTACAGGCATCTTACTAGGATTTAAGAGATTTTGTTTGGAAAATGGTTAATGTAATGGGTGTCTTACTTAGATAATAAACATTAGTTATGAGGAACAAATTCAGAATAATTAAAGAATTTGCCTCAGAGGCAAAGCCTAGAAGTGCTAAAACTATCTAATTAGGAAACTTGATAAACTTAATGCCAATTCAAAAGGGCCCTATTGAATATTCAAATCTAAGAAATCTTCATGAATAAAGATAGAGGACCTAGGTCTCAGAAGAATGGGATGGGTTTAGGATAGCACCTTCCAGCTGAGAATTAAAGTCTAAGGCCCTCAGGCATATACTGTATAAAATGAATTAGTTTGTTTCCTACGCACCTGGAAGGTACTAGCTTTAGGTGTGGGTACCTAAAGAAAAGATTGAGGTAGAATTTTGAAAAACTCTTGAGTGCCATGCAAAAAAGTAGCTCTTAGCTATGGAAACTTAGTTTTGGGTTAGGGAGGGGGTAAATACATATTTGAAGATATGACTGTTAACTGTAGCACTTAGGATCATTAAAAAAATGTAATTTAGGGCTGTAAGAAATATGTCAATCCTTAAAAATACAGAAGTGTGTATTTAAAGTGAGTTTAGTTTTAAGTTTACTGTCCATCAATCAGCATAAGAGCCGTGAGATGCTTTTATGTCAAGTAGTTGTGGAATTCTAGGTTAAAAGATCAAAAGTATTCAGTTAATTAAGTTGGAAAATCTATAAATGAAATGCACTGGCCTTTACAATTTTGTTTGCTCCTGTAGGACCTACGGAAAGCTGGATTGCTGATTTTTGCTAATAAACAAGATGTTAAAGAATGCATGACTGTAGCAGAAATCTCCCAGTTTTTGAAACTAACTTCTATTAAAGATCACCAGTGGCATATCCAGGCATGCTGTGCTCTTACTGGCGAGGGGTAAGAGGTCTTCTTTTTGGAAAACATATTTAGTTTAGAAACATGTATTTCTTCTTTAAATGAATAAATATTTAAGGCTACCATGTATAAAACAATGTAAGGGAGCGATGTGATACATAGTCCTTATTTGTAATTAGAGAGTTTCTAGCTTGGTTCTGTAAAGAATAAAATATAAAACGTATACGTAATACATGTAAACATACTGAACTAATCCATGTGAACAAGTAGAGGACAGAATGGCTGTCGGAATTCAGAGGAATAGGAGTGTCACGGAGAGCTGGACAAGTCAGGAAACCGTTCTGGTACTGGTGGTGTATCTTAACACTATAAAGTCCTGTGCCTTGAGTGCTTTCCATACAGTGTATCATTTAGTTGTGGTAACAGTCCTGTGGACTGATTGGTTTTAATTTACATTTTATCCATAAAGAAGCTGAACTAGAAAAAGATTCAGGTGTGAGACTAATGTGGGGATACTCATTTTGTCACCAGTGTAGTCGGGAGGGGGTTTTTGCACTTTAAAAAGGGGAGCGGGGCTGAAATTGGAGAGAGTTTGGCGAAGGTTCCTGGTTTGGGAGAGAAAGGTAGATGCCTACAATAGAATTTTGCCCTAGTCTAATGCCCAGAGATGAAAGGATTTCAAGAAAGAAGTGGTTTGTCAATATTGTCAAATACAAGGTCAAGGATCAGGAAGAGGGAGGGAGAGAGGGCTATTAAGAGAGGGAATAAAGGAGGTTAGAAATAGGATAAAAAGCTGTAAAAGAGGTGAGCAAGTTAAGGTTTTCGTTGTAGTTGTATTTCCAAAATATGGTGGATCTATGTTTTTAAAAGCAATGAAAAATAATTAAATTGGAGATGAAGATTGTAATTAGAGGTCTTGAATTTGATATAGGAAAGAGCAGAAGCTCAGGGCACAGATAGATAACTTTAGTAACTTACTATATTAGTTCACCTTCACCATGTTCTTGAGGAGGAGAATTTCTCCCGCCTCAGCTACCTCATCTGTTTCTGCCCCAAGCTTCTGGTCTTGCCTAACATCAGAAGAACCTCAACCCCAAATTTAAGACCTCTGTGAAGAATCCCTCATACATGTATTTAAAAGCGGAGAAAAAAGAATTAAATTGGAGATGAAGCTGAATCTTAGTGAAATAGAAGTCTCTGTTACCTGATTACAGACATTTGATAGAATGTAGAACCTCAAAAAAGCAAATATGTTGTTTAAAAAAAAAAAGGTCACAGGTAATACCCATTGTCCATGTACTCATTTAGGTAAAAATACCTTATCCATTTCATATCTTTGTCAAATAGTTGGATACATGTTGATATAGGTATATCTTTATATGTTATATTTGTCTACCAAAGGCCTTTAAGCAAAAGCACTGATTTTAATACTAAATTAGACAACAAAAAAGATCATGTAGGAATGGCAAAAGATTTGACTTAAATACTTGGAGTAATTGTGTGGAAATAGATCATTAGTTGGGATAGATACAAACCCTGGCAGTTGCATTTTTTAAAAGAGGAGATCAGTGGATGATGTTAATATCTTTCTAATTTTTTATTTATGTGGGCTTCCCTCTCCAGTAGTTATCAAGTGGAAATGTTTGGTTTTGGAGAAAATACTTCCCTTTTGCAGTCTGGCCACCTTGATCTAAGCTCTAGGTTTTAGTATTGGTTGGCATTTTGACTCCCACTTCTGCCGTTTGCAACTGTCTTTTAAGCCTGGATTCCCTCTTGTAGTATGGGAAGGCTTCTGCTTTCAGGATTGTAAAGATTAAGATCATGGGTACTAAGTGCTTAGCACAGTTTCTAGTTTGCCATTAGGTAACTGCTGTTCATTTAACACATTGGACTTAATTTATTTGCCTATTATTTTGCACCATTTCCTATCAGTAGTTTAAAAGTAAGGAATCTAGTAACAGTAGGGAAAGTATGAGCCAATATCAAAACAACCATTTCTTTACCTCATTGTCTTTTCTTCTTTTTTTTCTTCTTTTACATTTTTAGATTCATACTGCCACAATAATCTAAGTTCTGGTGTTTTTAAATTAAATAGTAGTGTAGTTTATCATATCTATAAAAGCTCCTCATAGAGAATAGTTAATATTTTGTGACAGTCTTTTGTTTTGTTTTAATATGTACAACATTTTCCTCTCTCTAAACATTCAGTTTTATTATCATAGTGAAATCTCTTTATGTTTTGTGCTGTTCTCAATTAGAAATTGTTCACTAGCAACTGGTATTAGTGATTAAGAGATTTTATTCCCTTCAAATTTGTAAAATACATAGATGTAACATACATATTATTATATGTATACTTTCTTTTACCACCTCAACTATATATTTGGTTTAACATCCTGCCACTTTTATTTCATTTATATCATGAACATTTTATTGTACTGTAAAATTGTCTTTGAAAGGAAGTTTTTAATATTTCATGATATCAGTGTTCTATAATTTAATTTTTTTCTCTATTTCTGGGTGTTTAAATTATACTTTTACCTATTAAAAATGCTTTGATGAACAGTCTTATACATCAGCCTGTCCTTGTTTCTTAGAGTTTTTTAGAATATATTTTTAGAAGTAGAAAAAAGGTATTGATATTTTAAGTATTTCTGATACATATTGCCAAATTACTTTCTGTGGGTATTCGTTATATAATAATTGAGTTCCTTTTATCTCTCAGGCAGTGGTCTAGGCCCTAAAGACATGACAAAACCCAAAAAGCATGGATGTACTACTCTGTATGAGAGTATGGCTTCACCACAATAACACCAGCATTGAATATTACTGATTTCTTAATCTTTGTTGTTTAGGAAAATGAAAAATGATACCTTTTAGTTTGTTGTTCCTAGCTTTTTAGTTGAGAATTTAATCAGATGATTTTATATTCTTCATAGATTATGCCAAGGACTTGAATGGATGATGTCACGACTTAAGATTAGATGATCTCTACTGACCTCTCCTCATAGACTTTGTATAAACGAAGTGCTGGACTTTACCTGAAAGCTGCAAAAATTAATGGTTTAGATATATTTATAATAAACTGACTTAAACTTTTTCTATCAGAAGAAAAATTAAGACCACTTATTTGAAAACAAAGATGAAGTCTCACTTTCCAATCTGCTTTCTCATTAGTTCCTTCCAAAGCAAGGTCTTTAAAGCTGTGATTGCCATTTTTCTCATAATGAATCCTCTCAGGACATTGTGTAGCCTGTGGTAAGTACAAAGGGAGAAGACGACATTTTTCACTTTAAGAGCTTTATTATCAGTATAACCCTCCCTAGTTGAATGTGTATTCTCTTCGTGTTCCATTAAGTCAAAATACAAATCACAGATACTCAGTTTCCAGTACTTTAAAATGTAATGTTAATTATGAGAAGTATTTTGCATAAGGTTGTGTGTATTGTGTATATACCTCAAATTCAAGTTTATGGCTTTGATTATGTTCTCCCATCCAAGTACTAACCAGGCCCGACCCTGCTTAGCTTCCGAGATCAGACGAGATCGGGTGTGTTCAGGGTGGTATGGCCGTAGACGATTATGTTCTAAAGAAAAGCAAAGAACGCAAGAAGTAATAATATCCTTAGTTAATGACCATAATGAGATGAGTACTGGCATCGCTGTTAAGTGCCATTTTGTGCTTTCCCCCTGTGTTCTCTGTATTGTACTAACCAACCCCCAAAATCATTGGGCTGCTCTTAAAAAAAGAAAAGAAAGAAAAGGAGAAAGCTCAACAGCGTGTACCTATTTTTTGTTGATCAAATTATATACATGAAAGCATGTAATCCAGCTGAGTGGAGTATCTGCAAATTTTTGGCTTAATATTATGAATGGACAGAATTACACATTGAGCAATTATCAGATTGGTTCCTTTATTGGATCTATGCCATCTAAATTACTGAGAAAATTGTTAATCCATTAATCAATCATTAATTGTGATTAAAATTATCAAGTGATTTTTTTTCCCAACGTTAATGGGAAGCTGTTGTGTAAAATGTCTGCCCAGAGAAGTATCACTCTATAAATATTAATCAAATAGTTTACCTATAGTCTTCTTAAGTATTGAATTATATGTCAAGCATTTAAAGTGAGTTTGAGATGAAAAGTAAAGCTTATTTTCTAAGCAACAAAGTTATTTCTTAATTTGAAAATTTCTCATTTTAGGAATTAGGATAGTTTGAGATTTTTGTTTCTACATGTTTCCTTTTATCTTCCTAACACCACATGAATGCATTGACAATTATAAAATACAAACTTTTATGCTTTTAAGAATTTGGTTTAAAAGTTGAACAACATGATACACATTTTTACAGAGAAGTAACTTGGCCCCAAATATGTTTGCTTAGGATATATTTTTTTTTTTTCACCGAAAATGGAAAAATACGATGGTTGAAGGTATTTCTGTTGTAATTTCTGTTGTATCCTAAATGTGTTCAAACGTATTTTTGGGTGCTCTCTTTGTATATGTTTCATGCCCTGAAAATCTGAAGGCTGATCCAAACTGGCATGTTGTAGAATATTGAAGAAAAGAAGTAACTACGTTTAATACCAGCCTTTTAGATTTCATGCAGATTTTGATGAGGAATCATAGTATATATACCACAAACATTGACAAAACTTGGAAAGTTTCTTTCTGTAATATATAATATACTCAATATCTAAATCCAAGTCAGGCATGGGAGATCACTGTTTAACAGTGGATGTGTTGTGTGTTATATTACGATGTTCATAATGCAGGTATAACATTTTAATATTTGTCAACTTGCTTTTACAAAAGTAAATTCTAAATTACTAAGCTTTATTCATATGTTCTTACACTTTTTCAAATCACTATTAGTAATTACTTGTTTTATATTAAAAACTCCCATAAAAACCTAAATCTGTTTTGCAGATGTTGCATTTTCATCAGAGATAAATATTCTGTAAAGTAGTCTAGCAAATTCACATCTACCCTTTTTATCTTTTCATTTGAATAATCACAGCTTAGTCCCGTGGGTTGCTGCTGCCTCGGTTCAGCACTATGTCAGCAAGCGCCCTTCTCAGCAGGGTGCTGGCTAGACCCTATTCCTAGTTGAATGTTTAAAGTGTGCACTACATTGTTAACAGTTGGTTTAGTGTTGGGGTGACTGACATGGCATCACGAGAATGCATGAAATCTTATACCACATTTATAAAACGTGATGTTTTTTGTTACATTCTCCCTTTCTAGGTTAAACATTAGAAATAAGGTTGTCCCTATATACTTGTACATAAAACCAAAATTACAATGAGAAAAAAATTTTAATTCATGTATGACTATACATCAAGATAATTTTAACAGTATTATTTCCAAATACTATGGAGAGCCTCATGAGTAGTCATATTGGCAATTTATATGTAGTTTCAGTAGAATTAAGCAAAGGGCAGTGTTTTTGGTTTTTAATATGCTATTTTGGGTGCAGTCATCTTATTTAGAATCATTGTGCTCACCTCTTAAAAGAACAAAGCTTCATACCTCTATACCTGTGGCTGGATTCGAATATCCTTGTTTGTTACTAACTTTGAAACTCATATAATTATTCTTGATAATCTTGGTAAAAATAACCATATGCTATAAGCATTTAAATATGTTTAATTTTGTGATAATAGCATTTACAAAGTATATCTTACACATTATATTGAGGAGTCTAGTTTGAAAATTTTCTGTTCTCTCTTCTTTGGCTCTTAAAATGGGCAAAGAATACAGTGAAGGCAGGTGGTTTGGGGGACAGTGGGAAGTGGGTATGACATTTTGCCTTAAGAATAAAAAAAAGTGCTTTAGCACTGCTGACTGGCATTTTTAATGCAGATAGTTAAAGTGATTTTAGAAGTGTGGTGTGAAATAGAAGAGTTTCTGTTCTCTGGCCTTTATGAAGTGCCTAATAGGTAATTAACAGAAAAGTACAGGGAGCTTGAGGAAAGGCAGGAAGTCCCTGAGATATTCTTTTCTTTTTTGTCTGAGTGTATAGAATTAAGATGCCTAGAAATTGGATTCTGTTGTCCTCTGTCTTGTAGGTAGTTACATTTCTTGGCTCTGACCACAGCAACCACATACAGTACAGACAACCTCAAAATCTGTTTGTATTAGTGTAAATAGAAAAACTGTAAACAACTTTCTAGTTTTCTCTGCAGGCATTTTTGGGAATATATCTGTAGTGTGTTCTACTTTGTATCTAGAGGATAGCATTACATCCCAGATTTTTCCGTCGACTTTGGGGTGGTCATATCTCAATTACCCAGTTATATCCTGGCATCAGTCCCTCTTTCAGAGCAGGGTAGAGACAAGGTCTCTTTGCATGACTTATCTTTGACCCCTCCCAACTGTTCAGATATCTCGAACTTCTTGCTGCAGATCAGCTTTGCCATTGCTCAGCCATCCCTTGCTCCCGTGTATCTTCATTCACCATCAGTGAAGGTACGTTACTCAGTCCTGGAGGTATTCTAAACTTTGCCTTATAGCCGTCATTCCCCAAACCACCAGTTTCTAAGTAGGTTCTCTAGTTCTTTGCTGTCTCCCCACCACTGGCTTGATTTATCAATTTGTACTTTGCTCATTAAAGATTATTGTCTGGGTTGTTGAGTACATCAGAAAACTGGCTTGCTGTGCATACAGTATATAAATGCCAGTAGTAAAATCCTTAATACTATATTTAACATTTTAATGCTTCTCAATTTTAGCTTCCTATGCTGAAAAGTAGATTCAGAAAGATAAGAGAACTACCTAGACTTTGCCTGCTCCTTAAGCTGCTAGTTAGGAATGAAAGGGGTGTAGTTATGTTTATGTTATCTTCCCATTACCAACAATGGATTATGTTTCGGAGGATACCTGTGCAAACAACATGAGTTAGAAAAAGATGCCAAACCAAATTTATATGTAGTGTTTACCCCAAAGACATTCTTAAAACCTATAGCCCACCTTCTATTTTTTTCCTCATGGTTACTTAAAGAACACAAATAAACATTACATGTCTAAAGGAATTAGTAATGAGAAGCCTATCTTTACAAAATAAACCTGTTGAAAGACCTCAAAATCATCAACCATCATGTGTTGATTCTGTATAGCTGTAGATACAATATAGACATTACTAATTTAAAGTTGCCCCTATACAGAAATAGAACTTCAATCTCATGCTCCCTCAAAGAATGTGTGATAGTTTTAAGACCATATTGGTGAAATAAAGGGAAAAAAAAATTAAACTTTGGATGCTAAAAAAATGACTATTTCTGTTAAACCCTAAAGTGTGTAGAATTGTGAGGAAATTTTAACAGGATACAGTCGGGTTAATTATGCAATTTTTAAAATCAATTGTCTAGTTGTTACGTATTCTAAAAACTAACTTTATGGTCTTGCCTGCTGGATCTGCTGTTCTTTGAAAGAAGATTCCCATAGTCTACACTCAAGAAGTGCCTAAAATTGATTTGTGTGGGATTTTAAGTCCATCTAATAAGTTATATGTGTTTTCTGTTGTATTATATGTGCTTGGTATACTGATGACAAAGCACTGAAGATTTCTAAGTCACAGTTTGTGCTTTATTTGAGTAAAAAACAACAACAAACCTAGATAACAAACCATATTTTAAACATGAGCAAAACCATTTTTTCTCTTTCCCAATAAAAATGTTGTGTTGCCCTTCTGCTAATGTAGAGGCTGGAAAACTGAACCCTATTTCTGTTTTTTTAAAAAATAGTTTTCACTCGCAGAAAATTACATTGTGTGTTTTAAAACCTTAGTGAAAGTTCATTGCTTATTTAAGAGTAGTCTCTTAACTCTCCTCATACTTAGTGGTTAGTAAATTTGATCATATTGTTTAGATCTTGATCATTTCGTGTGTGTGTGCATGCCCAAATCCTTCCTCTTTGTTTAGATTCTACTTATAAACGAAAATATTTGATAGACTTCTATTATGTTTCTCACATTTCCCTTCTTCCCTCTCTCCCTCCCTCCCTTTTTTTTCCGGTCATAGAGTGTGACTCTAAATTCTGGGGGCAGAGACTTGACTGTATTTTCAGTGATTTATAATTATATTGTGTTTATATTTCAAATCATCTTGCATGGAAAGTGAAATGTGTACATGATTTTAAATAATTTGTATACTATTCTCTTCTCCAAAATTTCTTACATTGGTGGTATACAGAATTCCTCTAATTATTTTTGCTTAAACTAGTCATTTAGATTGGAGTAGCCTTTACTTATATTATGGCCCTCTATGGTTTTTTTGAGAGGAGGTGATACCTGCAGAGCACTTTTAAAAATTTTTTCTGGGTTAATGTTCAAGATAACATTGAGGAAGAAGCTATAATTATGTCTAAGCAGGGCTCTTTTGGTTGCTAGAGATGAGAAAAATGTATACTAATTTTAATTTGTGCTTAAAATACATTTTACTAACAGTATTGATTTTAAATATGACAAATTCTTGTAAATCGTCTTCC